AGAGGCCTCGCGCCTTCGAAGTGAGGATCATAAAACTCGATCGATCCCATGGATCAATAAATTTGTCATCTCCGACAAGTCCCAGCTTAGAAGCTTTCTCTTGTTTGTGGTATACCGTCTGAGTCGTTTGTAGCGATATCTATCATTATCTGGATCGACCTGTAAAGCGCGATGTTATTTTTTCCTGCATCCTGCTTCACTGGGTATTGCCTCTTTTTATCATCGAATAGGACCCCTGCTTATGTATATTATGCTTCGCTTCGATATCACACGACCAACCACAATCCACGTCAGTCACCGCTACACCCCTATATACCAAGCAATAAATATAGTCATACTGTCCACAAAGTCGACACATTTCTGTGGATAAAGCCGCAACAACAAGAGTGACATAGGCCACGTGGAATGTGCTGAGTATGAATTGATTCGAAGCAAGATATCGTAGAGCACGAAATCTCATAGATTTTTTCATTGATTTTGTTCAAAAGAAGTCGATGTTACTTTGACGTATGTATGTTCTCCACATTTATATCGATTCTCGAATTCCATGGTCGATATAACTGCCGACCGCTTTAATTCAATAAAGCAATACCTTGCTGTCGTTTCATGCATAGCTGACGAACCAACCTATTTACATCTTTCATTTCCAGATTACGCGTGCAATGCATGGGTTATGCTTGTTATAGAAGTTCACCACGAGTCAAAAGCAAGTCTGAGGGCAATGCAGAGAAGATTTGCACATTGTGCTTGAAAAAGATATTATTAGGTGACCAACTAACGACTGTTCAGTCGTAAAGATGAACCTCTTATCGGATATAGGATACAATTCTAACATAATAGAGAAAATATATCAATTGAAATGCTTCTTCTTTAGCCTCTGCCATTACAGTCGAGCATTTTTTATCCCAAATACTAGTGTTGGACATCTCACGGATACGCGCTTGTGTGATCGAAAAAGCAGAAGCTATAAGTGTACGTGGACGGGTACGAGAATAAAAAACAGAGCCCACAGTAGCCGGGCGGATGTTGGTACCAAATCATGGATTATATGAGCACAGCTGAGCTATATTTTGGTGAGGCATGACACGCATATCGAAAAAAATAGCGCATGAAAAGATAGGCTGATTATGGACGCGTGTCAGACGCGTTTCAGTCCGTCCACGGGATTCCTTATTGAATTACCGATTGCAATGTGAGCTATCTTAGTGATGCGACAGCCACAAGATTTTAATTGAGATAAAATATATTAGAATGTCCTCATCTATAGACTACAATAGAACTACCAAGCAGACAAGCACCAGCATATATCTTGTATCCCGTTAGATACGAAATTTGTCCTTTCAACAAACCAGAGCAAGAAAACAGCCAGTTATGAAACACAGCCGTGATGCATCGAATCAAACCATCGGATCACCTTTCTACACCAAAATAGTGAGTGTTTGCTTGCAAGTAAGTCATGAGCGTTATATCAAATGTGTGAGAACTTTTACAATTCAAAAGAGTCATGTAAAACGTACTACTTCGGCGCCAGCTTCATATTAATCGTGTGAGAGATTATACAATACAAAGAGTCACAAAGCGTTTACTACTTCGGCGCAGAATCTTATTATCAACACATTGACCAGCCTTTCGTCTTCTTATGCGAAAAAAATGACACAAGATCTCCAAAGTTTCTTTTGAATCTTCTCGACGTATTCCTGATCGTGTAAATCAAAGCTGTCAACGGATTCAAAGCATTGTAATAGCTTGGCAATCGACTTATGTCGTCATTACTCTCCAATGTTGCCCAGACGATCGACTGGAGGAAGAGTGACTCGTTTCCATGTCGATATACAACTTCGTTCACGTCGTGTACCCGTTATTGAGCAGGCTGCGCTATTCTTGATGGCTTGGGTCGATGCTGTACTCGACCTTGTTGTTGGAATAGGTATGTAGGGAAGCATCAACCGAGTGAAAACCGTCACTAGATCGCGCATGTTTTTGGGTGTAATCAGCGTAGGTTACCCTGATCTAGTAAAGATCGCCGTGTCTAAAATCCAAATGTCGATACCCGATACACTTACCTTCCGACCACTTAAGCTGTAGCGGAGCTAGTATAGCTCAAATCCAGAGTGAGTTTTTTTCTCAAGAAGCAAGTTAGTTCTTTAAAAGAACTAGACTCTACGAGTCAAGAAGCTTCAAGTTTAATGCCCTTGTTAAAAGGACCTAACGATGTGAGGAATCGACTGCACAACGTGCTCAGTAGCCTATGCCTTAACAAGGCTTGACTCTTCTTAACGATCTAAGTCACCTTAGCAAGGCACTTGTCTCTAACAGATTACAAGGGGAACCAAAATTTATTATGTCTTTATCTGAAAGGACACCTTAGCCTAAGCGTTCCTAATCTAGACACTAACGCTCTAAATTAGTGCCCTTTATAAATCTTGTATCTGGTGATTGACACAGGTCAGCCCCAACAAACTCATACGATGGTCTAATATCACTTTTGATGGGATCTCATTCATAATGTAAACCATACATATTATACCGGTTATCATCCGACGTGTAACCCCGTTATATGATCCGTTTCGACATTTTATATCTGGCATACTAGTTGTTTTTGCTTCCGGCCGGGGGTGGAAAACGTAGGTCGATTTCTCGAATCGTCGGGAGGCTAAAGATGTCCTGCCCGAAAAGAGATTGGCGTGCGTCTTTTGAGGTGTTTAATGTTAAACAAGCAACCGATAAAAATGTCGTTTTGCCTATCTGTCAGCCAGGATTGATCACCTTGTGTTGCCGTTCCAGCGCAAGTCGTCCTCTCGTAATATGAAGTCCACCACACCAATCGACTAGTCTCCCTCGACGATCGGTCAGATCACGGTCGGCCAGATCAACAGTGAACTTAATCACCCCTCCATTCTCGAATCGGATTTCACCAATTCAGATCGTCTTCGTACCTAGCCGAAATACGCATTTCACGTGTCCAACATCGCTCCTGGTCGCCGCTTCGCCGCACCCCCATAATTACCTGAAGCATTTCGAAATTTAATACTGCACTTATAGCATGTAGTACTTGTCGTCTCTTAACGTTAGATCTTCTTCCCTTCTTACTTTTCAAGTTCTTTCATTACCATTCACACGAATGCAACCTGGTAGTTTACACTGAACCCACAGGTTCTCGTTTTTTACTTTACTATCTTCTTTCCAGGAATTCCCCCACCCCCGATCCTTATGATTATCCTAAAGAGCCTAAAGAGGCCATATTATGAAAACTTTGTATCATTTTCGGGCGTAATCAGCCGTCACTTTAGAAGCACTGCGCAATATGACCCCGTGTTTCATACAGACAAAGCTATTTTGCTTTTGTGATTACCCAACAAGGTGCTTTGATGTGGTGCTTCATACATTTTTACTACAGGCGAGTATCCTCGACGGAATTTACGTTTCTTGAAAGCTCGAAGTGCTTTGTGGTCCTTTTGTTGATCATGTAACACGTTTACAAGGTAACCGCAATTTGCCACGTCAGCTTAGTGTTTTAGTTTATTTTAGCCAGCATGATAATGCCAAACAGCGAAGTAAGTTATCAGGTCGTAAAAAACTGAATCCCTAAGACAGCAGTAGAACCCAGTCGCATATTTAGACGATTCAAGTGAATCGTTGCTCGACGTCTTGCGCCCACTGGCACACGCTAGACCGAGTCGTCATTGCCCAAGGCCGCGTCTGATGTCCCTCGGTCTTATAGCGACTGAGGTGAAGCGAACAAGGTTCTTTTGTTGGAGCAAGTGCGTGGTCTTTTTAGGACGCCGATGAAGCCGTTGACGTTGCTGGAGCCATTGATGTACAATATTTGGTCAGGCTCGGGTTCGGTTTGTCCATCATAATCTATGTGCGCGGCGGCTCGATCTTAGGACCTTTAAATGACGGCCTGACCGAATGTATCTGGTCAGTGGTGTCAAGTGTCATGTCAGAACGCAATTCTAGCACGTATCTTACAATGAGCGGAATCATCACAACTCTTTTGTTGATAAGAAGAATGGTCAGATTCTTGCAATACTGTGCCGACACGATACTGCAAGTATCTATGCAACCTCACAGGCATTTCACAGGGAGCGGTATGCCAGCCCGAAGCATACGAGATGTTCTTACTATGTCTTTTTAGCATAGACACAAGCCAATCATCTGGCCCCGCCACCCTCCTCCAAGGGAGAGGTGAACGTGGTTTCACTGGTGGTGTGCTAGTCTTGTGTGCAGTATCCCGTCCTAAGGTCGTACTCATCGCGATGTGTTGATGAATACGTCAAGACCATATGTTGCACTGAACGACTTTGATTTAGCTTGCATCTACGTACGCCTGCAGTTTTCCGCTCACATGAACAACGTCCTGGCAAACGCCTGAGAATCAGCTGTATGCGTTATGGGATGGCGGTGATGCGAATGCAATTGCCCTAGAAACCGCACCGATAGCTATGGACGATGTGTGGCTTTGTATCTTCCAACTGGTGGTGAGTAGGCATTTTTGGACAACACTATTCTCGATCTCCTCTGCAACTTTTCACTCGTTTGCGAGTAATTGGTCGACACTGCACTACATGAAGCGCAATAGAGCATCACCGTCACCTGGCGCCTCCATAACGTGCAACGAGCGTCATACACTTGTGCAAGTAGAGCACCCGGTAGCTCATATTGACACGGGCATGTGTGGAGGCATATTAGGACTATCTGCGTATTCAGATAGTCCTATTGTGCCTCCACACGCATGCAAAAGGGGCCAAGATAGAGCTGTCAGAGAGGCTCTGACCATTTACCGTAACTCTATGAGTACCTACCTGATCGAGTGTGCAGCTTACCACCATGCGGGGCCCCCAAACAGGTGGAGAAAAAGTACGTCTTCGCCATCCCGCTGCTACCGCCTCTGCCGCCTGCGCGACGCCGCGACGACCTCTGCCACGCATGCCGCTATCTGCAGCTCTTCACACACCTCATTTCTCATTACCCGAGAGGCTGCCCAGACCCGTCACGTCATGGGGCTCCCGCAGCAGATCACGACCGGTCTTAGCACGCTCGTTGCATTTTGTTTTCAGCCGTCGCCGTCGGTGGACTTTCCGGATAAACTCCAGTTTCTAAACTGCGCCACATCGTTGCGCAGCTCTGTTGGCACCCAAAACGGCTCGACAGGTGCTCGATTTCTAAACGCCGCGAACCCACCGCAATGGGTCAAGGACGACTTTGTCGAAGCCTGTGGGCTCTGCAACGTCGAGTTTGGTCTACTCAGGCGCAAACACCATTGTAGGAGCTGCGGGTTGATCTTCTGCGGTCACTGTACGGCGACGTTCGACCGCGTGGTCAAACTGGGGTACATCGAGCCTGTACGACTGTGTAACAATTGTACGACCACGGTCCAACGGGAGAATGACTTTCTGGAAAAGTTTCTGCCGCTACTGGAAGCCGGGGATGTCTTTACCAAGTACGGACTGCTGCGCAAGCGACAGGTGCATCTCAAATATGTTCAGACGACGAGCATTTTCCAGTACCAGAAGTACAATTCTGTGACGAAAAGCTACGAAGGGGACGTGCAGGCGATTCCCCTCGATGGAATTACGTCAGTCAGGGAGGTACCTGCTGGACGGGACAATGCGGATGTGGGTATTCTCCTGGCGGTTGGCTCACAGGAGCACAGATTCGACGCCGCAACGGAACGACAGAGGCAGCAGTGGATGGACGCCATTGCCGGAGCACGGCAGCTGCGTGACGCTTTGCTGGCCGCCGAACGAGAGAAGCGCGTGAAACAGGCCGAGAAAGAGAACGACGAGATCCGCGATATGTCGGAGAATCTGCTCACGATGGAAAAGCGCCGCACGGCGTTCCAGGATGAACGGCTGCGTCGTCGAGGTAAGAAGCGCGAGCAGCTGCGTGCCAAGTACAACCTCGCCATAGCCGCTTCGTGACTGGCAAGCGAAGGATCGAGCGCCGTGTGATGCTTACGCATGATCAGACCGTACCCGCTCGCTTGTGTTTTCCCGATCGAGCCACAAGACTATCTCCTCATGTATCCACTCATCCATCCTTGTCGAGGTGCGTTGCAATAAAGTCGCAGTGTCTATAGCTGTCTCGATGCAAAGCTCGTCCACTCGCGGGTGGGCTTTGATAATACATGTGCATACGTTTTCGATTCTGCTTTGAGTGTCGTTTTAGTTTCAGCAGTAAGCTGTGCTGCCTAGCTGTGCTGTAGCACAAGCTGCCTTCCAAGCCATCACCTTTTGCTCTTGGCGTTGGAGTCACGAATCGCAGCTTCCAAGTCGTCCCATTTTTCGCTGCTGACCGAGCCAAACATGTTGAACTCGCCAGCATTGGCAACCGTTTCACCACCGTCAAAGCGAACGATCTCGCCATTGAGCCAGCTGGCATAGTCGCTCGTCATGTACGAAGCCAAGTTGGCCAGCTCGTCCACTTCTCCGAAGCGCTTGAGCGGGTTGTTTTGCAGCATAATTTCCTCAAACGCGCCCGAGGGATCAAGTCGATCGAACGCGCCTTTCGTCTTGATCGGACCGGGTGCAATGCCCACAAAACGAATACCGTACTTGCCCCACTCCACCGCTAATGACTTGATCATTGCCTACAAAACAGCAACAAAAAAGCAGCAAGAAAAACACATACCACATCGACTGCATCAGCAACGTCCAGTGGTCCGTCCACACACATGTCACACAACACACAACGTACGCTAACCCCAGCTTTCGCTGCGGCCGACGGCACAACGTAACCCGAGCCCGTCTCAGCATACGTGGTCGTAATGTTTAGAAACACGCCCGGGTGTCCCTCCTGGATCATGCGCTTGCCCGCCTCGAGCGTCACATTGGCTGTGCCTTTGAGCACAATATCGACAATAGTGCCAAACCCTTTGGCATTCAGCCGCTCAAACGGAGAGATGAAATTGCCCGCGGCATTGTTCACCACAACGGTCGGCACGCCGGCCACGTGGGCCAGTTCGTCCAGTGCCTTCTTCACTTGCTCAGCGTCACGGACGTCGCCAGTGAGTGCAATGGTCTTGTTCCCTGTGAGCGCCTGAATCTCTTGAGCTGTGGCTGCCACGACTTCCCGTTTACGACTCAGGATCGCAACCGTCGCGCCGAGATCGGACAGTTTCGTGGCAATGCCTTTGCCCAAGCCAGTGCCCCCACCAGTGACGAGCGCGATTTTGCCCTGGAACGTTCCAGGAGGTAGCATTGTACGGAGGACCGGGACGGACCGGGGCGTCATGGAGCTCTTGGCGCGCGCGACAAGAGAAGACGGCGCGCGGACGAAAGATACGCGCTTTACAGTCGACATGTCAATAGCGACAGATGAAGATTCTAACTGAGAGGGACAGATAGGGATAGAGATAGAGCGATAGCGCGTGTTGTGTGTGACGAAGACGAAGCGGAAGTAAAAAAAAGAGAGTGAAAAGCAGATATCCAGAGACTCGTGGAAAAACGACCAGTGTCGGAAAGGTCGTCACGGCGGATTTGACGTGAATTTAGCAGGTCGATGATGGGTAGACAGAAGGACAGATGTACAGCGGTCGCTGGGGTTTTGACCAATCGTTGTGGTCGCTATCGCCTCCTTTCGGGTCGTTTGGACGGACTAAACTAGCAGCTCCTGGCTACGACATCATGACGCGACAGCTGCAGGTGCTGCGAAGCAGAGCTTCTTGTGTCGCCCGACGGGCGCCCGTACTGCAAGTGTCGAGTGCCGTGCTGCGTCTTGGCAGCGTACATCGATCGTCTTTCGCTGCATTCGCTCCTTTGTGCTGCTCAGTGGACGCCATTCGACATGCATCGACGAGTAGCACACCGTCTTTTACGCATAAAGTGGCGGTAGCGGATGGACATCTCACAGGTGCTGCGTTCACGTGGAATTTGGTGTAAATTAGTGCTATGAGTGATCAGTAGTTTGTGATTGGGCTGTGTACAGACGCAGGAGCTGTTGCGGCAGAGAGTGGAGCAGGACACGAACCGTGGGCCGTCGTACAGGGCGTGCAGGCAGCTCTCGAGGCAGTGCATACCACTACGGGGTTGCCGTGGTGGGCGACGCTGATGGTGAGGGAGATGGGAAGATGGTTTTAAAGGCGACGGAATCGACTGACGGATTTGATCAACGTGCTGTTTGTGTCTGTGCATCAGCTCTCAGGCGTGACACTGCGTGCTGCCATCTTCCCTTTGTATGTGTTCCAGATCCGAGCGACTCAAAGGTCGAGCACGAACGTTTCAGGATGGAGGGGCTGGCCGATGGTGATGCTGAGAGGTTGTGGTGTTGGTGTCTGGCAGGTTGGTCCAGGCAAGCTTGGACTTTCGAAAATTGCACTCGGCGTACAAGTACGCGCGCACGTTTACGGTACAATGCAGCTGACGCCGGTGGGTTATTGCTGGTCAAGGCATTGTAAGTTGAGCTGTGGATTATGTGTGTGTTTCGTAGCCTACGTCCGACCGCAAGGGACATCTTGACGCGATCTTACTTGCACGACGGGGCGTCCGTGCAATCATGAAGAAGTACAACACGCATCCCATCCAAACGATCGTGGGCGCGGTGGCGTACATCCCGATCTTTGCTGTGATGGCGTACAGTGCTCGCGACATGGTGCGCTCGGGCAATTTCGCAGGTTTCGATTCCGGCGGCTTTTTGGCTTGGAAGAACCTGTCAGAGGCGGACGGCACATATGTGTTTCCCGTTCTTGCAGCGCTGTCTACGTATGGCAATCTGGAATTGTCAGCGCGACACAAGAGCGGTTTGTGGACAGAGGTGCTGCGTGCAGGGCAGTACGCTACGATCTTTGCTGTCCCGTTCATAGCTAGTCTGCCACAGGGAGTGTTCTTTTACTGGTTGGGATCTTCCTGGTCGTCTATGGCGCAGACCATTGCTATGAACAACAACGAGTTCCGCCGACGCCTGAAAATCAAGCCACGAATTACGACGACGCACTCACCTACTGCGTGAGCAATAAATGGTCTGGATTCGGCCCTTTTTGTAGACACCGGTGGGAGTGGCACTTGTTACTTTGCGCGAGAAAGTACTCATTCAGCAGTCGTATTGACCAGAGACCGACGTGTACGTAAGCTGACAAACATGGGCAGCGCGTCGATAGCACGTGAGAGACGTGCGATGATATGAGATGGTACAGTGTAAGCTATCGAGTCTCGTACGGACAACATGTATGGTACGACCCTCCACTTGCCAGATGCGCCGAGTGTGAATGCAACGCATCCCATTGGACCGACCAGTCGGTCCGTCGACCAAGAGCCACTTTTCTTCAATGTCAAATCCATCCGCACGTTCTTTCACGCGCACTGGATTTGTCAACACTTTATTGTGTCGCCCGCAGAAATCGGGCGCGAGTGTTGCAACTGCAGTATCTGGAGGTGTTTAGTGCGAGTAAACTAACTGTCAGCTGCAATGTCCCGACTCCCCCAACTCGCGCGTATCCAAATCGTAATCCGTCGCACTCTTGAGCCCACGTACAGGGCAGTGACTGGATATGAGGCATGTTGAAGCTGTCCACGCAAGTTAACAGCAACAGGCCAGAGACTCGAACATCCGTTCGTGGGTAGCTCAATGTACCCTCTTACACCAAATACACCGTGCTATTAGATAGCCAAATCTACAGCAGTGGTCATGATCGTGTCTCGCGTAATCGTACAAATCAATTCCCTTCCGTCTACGATGCAGCCAATCAAAAGCCACGACTCACGCACGAACATTCGTCGCCTTCCACGACTTGGGAGCTGCTGACTGACTGACTGACTATCTCTCGCTGGGGATGCGCCTTCGCTCTCCCTTCACTTCTACACGTGTCAAAGTAGACGCAGCACTGCCTCATCATGCGCTCGCCAATCCCTGACACGCCCAAGACCGCGTCGCTCGTCACGGCCTCACACCTCGTCGTCCTGCAGCACGGACTGCTGGGCAGCAAGCACGACTTTGATCGCTTCGTCCAGCTCTTCCGCACGCACTTGGAAGCCGACGGCTCTGGCGTCTACTGCCACGCCGCAGCAAGCAACGCGTCGAGCTTTTTCAAGACGTACGATGGGATTGACCACGGCGGGGAGCGCCTGGCCGACGAGATCCAAGGCCTAGCCACGCAGATGCCTCACTTGCAGAAGCTGTCGTTGATCGGCCACTCGCTTGGCGGTCTGTACTGTCGCTACTGTATTGGCGTGCTCTTCAGTCGTGGCTTCTTTGACAAGATCGAGCCAATGGTAAGTGACATTCTCGCTGTGGAGGTCGCGAGATGTGTACTCCGCTCAGGACTTATGGTCGTGATATGGCTGCCTAGAATTTCGTGACGATGGCAGCTCCTCATCTTGGAAGTCGCCGACCTCGTCGTGGTGCAACAAACGCTGTGTTTAACGCACTGATGCCCAAAATGTTTAGCCGGACGGGTACCCAATTGACATTGACAGATGCCGCAACGACGGAGACGCAGGCGCTCAGTTGTGCGTCGCGTGCGCTTCAGGACAAGCACTTTTACCCAGGTGCAGTTTTTTTGTTGCTATCGTCCATACTTGCTTGCTTAATGTTGGGTACTTACATGGGATGCCTCGTGCTGTAACAGCGCTCTTGGATATAAGCGGATCCTTGCTGGTCCATTTTCCAGATGCAGGAAAGCAACTGGACGATGCACAGAAGACATTCGAGCTGTTTGATTGTGTTTTGAGCGATCGAAAGCTGCGCATCTCTGAAGGCCAGGAGAAATCAGCCGAGGGGAAGGCAAAGCTTGACATTGACATGTCTTGTGCTGACGTAAAGATCGTGCTACCCAGCGGAAAAAGCGTCGGCAACGACGCTCCTTCTTCCTCAAGGTTCACCGTTTGGGGTCAAAATGAACCTATTGAGAAGCTCAACGAGTCTGGCAACTTTGATATCCAGATCTGTTGGTCTGCCAACGAGACAGAACAAGCAGATGCGGACGTCTGTGTGCTACGCATTCCTGAAGCTGACATTCATCGCGATTGGAAATGGCTTGTCGCTCTCAGCAACGCTGCATTCGGTGTGCGCTGTCTGACGTTGACTGACAGTACCAAGGAAGGAACGCGGCAAGTATCGGAGACATCACCTCTCCTGAGTTGCTTGACTCGAGGTCAGTTTATGCAGGCGTTACAGATGTTCAAGGCGCGTACACTGTACTCGAATATATTCTTCGACCTGCAGGTGCCGTACACATGCGCAGCGGTACGCGCATTCAATCCGTATCGCGCGAGTGCCGAAAAGTGTTCCATGTCTCCTGTATACAAGCACATTGCGTCCGTCTCTCTCGAGAGCGCGCGTCAGCTGCGCGATACGATCCCTCACGCGATCAAGTGCCTCATTGTGAAGAAAATGACACCCGACGGAGCAGCTCTGGCCTCGCCTCCAAGCGCGGAGAATTTGCCGCACGACGATCACGACGTCGATGGTGGCGACGTCGATGGTGCCAACAGCAGTAGAAGCGGTGAAGGAATGGCTGAAAGGAAATCTCTTGCAGCTTCCAGCGGTAGTGGCCGACAGCGTCAACCCTTTTTCAGCCGTCATCGTGGGAAAACCGTGGGCAGTGCGCTTGCAGACGACTCTTGTGGAGCTCGACCAGCTCCGTTTCTTGACGGCGATGTTATCCTCGATCAGCTGCCGTTCGCCTTTACAGCCGATACAGAGCGAGACGAGCTACGTGGTATGCTGCTATCGATGCAAAGTGTGGGCTGGCGACGGATCGACGTCTTGTTTGGAAGCATCATGTCGCACGAGCACATCATTGCCAAGCGAGCGAACTTAGACAAGCCCCTTGACTCTGGCGCTGACGTCGTGCACCACGTGATGGATACGCTTCTTCTATGAGAGCACGGACATGTATGCTGCATAGTCGACAAACAGGACACTGTTGTCTGCTTTGCGTGCGTGTTTACCTGTGCAAGCGATACATCCGGGTAATCGTTTGATGAACTTCAGCTTGAGGTGCGCTATCGTTTGTCAGAAGGACAAGTGGCTTCACGATCGTCTTGCCGCATCCAGCTACAAAAGATGATTTCGCATAGATCGTACGACACGCTTAATTCACCATTGTGGTGCGTTTGCAGGGTAAATGTGTTTACGGTCGACCGCTGCGTGCATTTTTTCGTGCGTGATGTTTATGCTCGACCAATGCGTGCATTTTGCGCTGTTAAATTCCATTGAAGTAACATGTTGCTAGTTTTGTCGTACATATATCAAATCTCACGGTTAGCTGCAGCAGTGGAGGTTTTGCAACCGTGCAGCACCGCAAAGAATCAAGCACCGAAATCGCTCATCATTGAACATGGGCAGGTGAACACAGCAACATAAAAGCGGGGCGCGGGATTGGCAAAATCAGGCGCAGCTACCCTTGAACCTGCAACTACATATAATAGCTGGCCAGCTGCTCAAAACGCTACCACAAGCCGACATCAGAGTTTGGCCGAGAACAACCTCGGATATCAAGCTTCCATTTTGTATGCTAAGGCAGATAGACATCTAAATATTCCTACAACACTTGAATGCTACTTACGAAATGTGTACGAGCAAAGCACTTGTTTCGCTCCTCTTTCGCCCGTGCTCGCGGAAATCGTTCTTTCGTGCCTGTGAAGCGACGCGCGACCTCGAGTACCCTTACAACTTGACGCGCACTTCAGCTCGTCGTACCGCAAAGCTTCGAATGACCTTTCACGCTCTCTCCCTATCGCTCAATCGCCACCATTTCCGTTTGCCTTTTGCGCTGTCGATTCTCGAGCCCAATGCATAGCAGCATCAAGCTCTTACCATCTCGCTGCTCGCTCTGTGTCGTTGTGCCTCCTGATATTCCATTCGGACAGCTCACAATTGCTGTTGGCAACGTCAACACCAGTGTAGCTACTGAAGCATATATATTATCTGGAGCTTCTTGATGAGGTCACGTTGAGCATAATGAACACTCTCGATATATAGTGCGTCATGCGAAGAGCAGCAGCTTCAATGTGCTCGACTGCTTCCTCGTACGGAAACATCCGTGCAAGCGCCTCGACACATATTCGTTTTGTGCCTCTCGTTGTGCAACGTCATGTGATTCTGCGTGCATTTGCTCCAGCAGCGTATCAGCATTTCCTACATGTGTCAATGCTGTCCAAGTTGCTCTACACGTCTAACTAACCCTTGACCAAGTCCCTGGATCAGTCAAGTCCGAAGCAAACTCTACTTTACAATATAACCAAAGGTGTCGTGTGGGAATCGCGAAGCGCTTGACTAGATCTGACACTTGGCCAGGTCTGTGCATCTGCATCAACGCTTCTACTGACTTGTTGACTTGTCCGCGAGCTTCTTCCAGACGCTTGCTGCAGCCAGCTGTTCTGTGTCGTTTACAGCGAAGCTGGATCGTCTCTCTCGACAAAGAAGGAGAAGTTCAGCCACGTCACTTGATACTTGTTCGCCACGCCGCAGGATGGTCGGAAGTAATGCTGCATAGAAACCTCTTCGTGCCAGAGACGCATCCAACTTGCCGCAAACGCCGACATCCCCAGCGAGTCGCTGCTTCACGATCGTATGCTACATCGCGTGAGTCAGTTGCCACCGTTTTTCACCGTCGAACGTCGCAGGATTTTCTACTGCCTCAAGTGCACGATGGCAATTGAGACGGCAGCAACTGACTCCTGCCATTCACAATCACTACGTAAAAAAGAAAACGACCGACGACGGGAAGACATTTTTGTTGCGGGTCGTGCGACTACAGAGAGAAGAAGAAGAAGAAGAAGAAGAAGAAAACGCACGAACGAGAGATCTAAGCGCACCATTTGCAATCGTGTGACGTCGCCCAGTGCCGACGTCGTCTCTCTTCCCCTTTTTGGCACACGTCACACACGGCAGACGCGACGCTGACAAACGAGACACAAAAATAGACCGACGAGAGGAACTTTCGCTTGGACGGCCGATCGACCAGTTTACAATTTGCCAGCTTCTCGCCTCTTCCCCTCCTCCTCGTTCTTAGTACTACTTCAACGCCCGCCAGACGTTTTCGAAGAGCTCCACTTGTGTCGTGTCCAGCGTAACTTCAACATGTTGAAGGAAGAAGACCCAATGATTGAGCTCTTGCGGGAGTGGATCATGTCGCCTCTCGACGACGGCACAGAGCTCCGCGAGTCGGTCCTCAAGGTTTTTGGCTTTATGAGCGACCTCATTGCTGAGCACGTCGCGCGTCCAGAGCGCAGTCGGCTGCGCAAGTTTCTACCACAGCTCACGCAGTTTTTCCTCCCGCTCGACTTGACCGCTGCGGCCCTCGCGTACGATGCGAGCACGCACTTTCTCGCACGGAAGCGCGTCCCGCCGACGTTCAAAGAGGTCCGTCATGTCCTCAATCTGGCAACGACGAACGCAATTGCTGGGAAGTTGAAGCTCGTGACATTTGATGCCGATGATACGATCTACAAAGACGGCGGCAGCATTCGAAAGACGTCAAGGATGGTGCAGATTATCGTGCAGCTACTGCAACGCGGAATCGTCGTTTCCCTCGTGACGGCAGCGGGGTACCCTGGTAACCCTGGCCGCTACGAACAGCGTCTTCGTGGGATTCTAGATGCCCTGGCAGAACTGTCGAGTGCGGAACGGGCCCGGTTTCTGGTCATGGGGGGCGAGTGCAATTACTTGTTTGAGACGTACACGCACAAGCCATCAGGGATTGTTGGGTTGCGGGAAATTGACGGGGCGTTGTGGAAGGACGGACGTGGAGAACGCTGGCCCGAGGAAGAGGTCACAGGGCTGCTGGATGCTGCTGAGACGGTGCTGCAAGACACGTTGCAGGCACTGCACTTGTCGGCACAGATTCTGCGGAAAGAGCGAGCGATTGGAATCATCAACACGTCCGACAAGCGCATTCGGTACGAGAACCTCGAGGAGATCAGCCTCACGCTTCAGCACAAGCTGCGTGACTTTCAAGTCCCGTTTTGTGCGTTCAATGGCGGTAACGACGTGTGGGTTGACATTGGGCACAAGGCATTAGGCATCCAGGCGCTGCAGAAGTACGTGTTTCGCTTCCTGCCGAAAGAACTGCACGACAGCGAGGAGCTGCGCATTATTCAAGGCCAAGAGTGTCTTCACGTCGGAGACCGATTTACGACGACGGGCAACGATACGCGATCGCGGGACGCTGCTACAACGATCTGGGTCTCGAATCCTCAGGAGACTGTGTATATCATGACGATTTTGCTGCAAACGATTGACTCGGTGCGCGAGCAGAAGAGGGCGCAGAAAGAGGAAAAAGCGAGGGAAAAGAAGGAAAAGAAGGCTAGAGGGTTGGCAAGCGTTGTAGCTGCAGCCGTGCTCAGCGATGAAGGAAGCGACATCTCACTCGACGGGATTGACGCAAATCTCTCGAGCGATAGCGAAAGCAGTGGCAGCAGTGACGAGCGGGAGACGACAGTTCAGGCAGCAATTCAAGCTGCTACAACAGCCTGTCTGACCGAGTAAAACCATCGTGTGCAGGCCGTCGTTGTGCGCTAACTTACCGTGCATGTTTCCGTTGACAAAGTTCCAGACGTGATCAAGTCCGTCGACTGGTCTCCTTATGACGACGGATCTGTCGACATATTACTTGAGAATACATACTTGCTTGGATACTCTTGATCGCTCCAAGTATCGACATGACGTGTAGCGTTCGTGATTCCAACCGTCTTGCCTTCCGAACCAGAACTGTAAAGTTGTCATCACAGACAAGGCGAGTGAGCCAACATAATTGTCTTGACGCGATATAACTCATTGTGGAGCGTGACAGGACAAGGTATAGGAGCGTCGCTTAGCAATTAGAGCGATCGAAAGCATTGTTTGTGTAGCGTGTCTGCAGGCAGCACATGCGGCACGACCTCTACTTCATCAACCAGATAGTGTGTCCTCTTTCGTAACCACGTATGACACGCTAAGCTCACTTGCACCTACAATGTAGATGTTTTTTTATTGAAGTCTTGATAATCTAAAAACGAAGAGGTCGTATAGTAGCCGCCTTGCCCACCGCTGCATCTGCGGCCAAGGCCCATCTTCAAAACACGTGATACCTTGCCAGGTTGACATTGATGCCACTTGTCTTACCTTTTGCATCAACGAACACGTCGTCAACTCGTTTATATGTCCGAAGGGTTCACGCCCGCTAATGACAGGTAGAGGAGCATGCCGCTAATTTGCGTCAAATGGCGACCATCCTTTCCTAACTAAACTGGATTAGCTAATCGGGAGCTCCACGTCGTTTCGCGTCAAGTACGAGATCAAAAAGTCTTGTGCCATGATCCCGACATCTCATAAATCGCACGCTATCTGTGTACAGATCAAGCGCAGTATACGCATTGGTGCGAGATGAAGCGGGCTGAATATATAACTCTTTTTAACTTCGTTTAGCCGGTCGTTCAGACTGCTTTCGCTGGCGCTTATATGGTTTTCACGAGCGCGTGCGGCCAATGTGCTAAGCTTCCTCTGATCCTATTCCGGGCATTGACGTTATTTAACATAAGTTTACCATCCGGGACGAGATTGTAGATTCTTGTTGTGACAACATGACGGACCCACAATCGATCAATTGTTCATTGTTCCTGGACATTTGAGATTTATAGAAGTCTCTCAATGAACCCCACCTTCAGCAATAACACCAAGTGTTTGTTGTTTCTACGTAGAAGTTCTCGCACAATTACAGATCAGCGCGCGCCCCATGGCTAGTACAAACGCGCTTTGTTGCCAGTTAAACATACTGACCATGTCGTTTCGATCTGTGGCGGTATGTTACTAAACTAGCCATTTGACAATGGTATGAAATGCATAAGGTGGCTTCATTCCCGGATAGCATCGCTGTTACCTCCATAGACTACGTTATATGTAGGTCTACAGTGATGATATCCGATATTGAGGGCATGTAGTGCATGGGACTGTTAATTGCGTGATAACCCACACCACTCTGCTACAAAGTCGCAATCATACATTGCACACGACACTCTGTTCATATAGTCGCAGTCATACATTTCACATACTGATCGTGATGCAAATATATGTCGCGATACTTTAATTCATGTTGCTGATATACGTACTTCCCTGACACGTTAAATCTCAACTGTTCTTTTCAAAGGGAACTTTCCCCTTGTACTGATAAATTATGAGTGACCTAAACTGAACACAGGATAGGCAGATGCTCCCAAACCTCAAACACACGGTGCATGCAGAGGGATAGGCAACCCTTCCAAACGACAACGCCTGGAAGAAGGAAAAGTAGGGCTGCACTTAGTATAGTAGCATCTCCCAATAAAACCCATTTTACTGCGATGCTAATTGTGTAAAACTACAAACCCCAAATGTAGGAACTCGCTCACCACCCATTGCGCGCGTCTAGCAGCGATTGGCGATTTATGCGGTTAGTATAATGGCCCATGTAAATCAATAAGTGGAGCGGATAATCGAAGTCCCAATAATTCTCTGTTTACACCTGTAGCGAATTTGGAACTTCCAGACACGGTCACACTTAGCAATCGTTAGGTTCCTGGATATAACCATCGGATTCCTCTCTCCTCTACGGACGCACCCCCTTGGTCATCTCGGAGGGTCAGTTTTGACCAGCATCTCAAAAAAATAAGTTAGATCGATTTTATCATCATTTGTCAAATTCTTTGGGGTACATATTTTCAGTACAACTCAAAATCCGCGTACAGCTTGATTTATGTTGGTCGTCTAAACTGATCACGCTTTCCAAGATCAACCAGATGTATGACCACCTATCATGGGTAGTATACGATCTACAAATGCGCACGGTATCATTCCAGCCCATGGGTTGGTTCAAGGATCTGGTCGATGTTTATCCTGGTTTTAAGTCTCGTCACCAACAAGCTTTATAGGAGGCTTCAACTTTCCTGCCGGTCTCCGTAGAGCGGTGTCGATCCGGTCTGGACTTGGCAACTTTTGCTCAGAAGCGGAAACAAAGGCGATCTCGATCTGGTCTTAATGGAAGAAAAAGCTGCAGATGATCCTCCATGTCATGGTCGCCGATCATTGCGACCTGGGCATCCAGTTGGATCCGTTCTGTATTCCACTCGGTTCAGCGAGGTCCGAGTGTAATTTCCATGCCTGTCCGAGTAGCGGACCATCATCTCGACCCTGATTACCGCCCTGTCCCAGCGCAAAACTGTAGAGATTTTGGAAGAACCACTTTCGATCTTCGCTTGCAGAAAATTCGGGGTTTTCTTTTCCCCACTAGACCGGCAAATTTATGGACCTCGAACAGTATGTTATATTCATATCATTTCCATACTAGAATGCTTACTATATTTGTTATCTTTTATCGTTTCGATTGAAATTGACTCTCACCGCTATTCCAAATCTTCGATTCATGCGACGGCATTACTCCGAAACGATTTTTGTATTGATTGGTCACGGTCGAACGCATATAACAACGAGTAGCAATTATGTCGGCTTTTTCAATAATGTATCATCGTACCCCTCCCAGTAGATCCAAGAACTCTCGACTACCTCTTCCATAACTCAATTTTTCCCAGATCGTGCGTCCGCTCTCTTTTTCCACTTCGAATTGTCCCGTTTTAGTCCGCATTCCCATCTACACTCTGGCACTAACAATTCGTCAAAATCGGCCCGACCACTTTTTTCTACGGCGAGCATCTCCGCAGAGATTTCTGGGAGCCCAATGACTATATTCAACCTCGACACATGCACCAATGGAACGGAGTACCCGCAATCCGACGTATCAGTTGAAATGCCGCATATATCGATGAGTCTATACAATCCTTGCCACGCATGAGCCAACTTATGACCTTTATTCTAATGAACGCGATCCAGATATAGCCAAACTTGCGAGCGGAAATTTATTTCCAGCAGCTTGTGATCTTCACCATGGAAATCCATCCGAGCTTGGATCGCGATCTCGAGTCAATCGTTCACCACATCCCTATCACGTTAGTACTGACGATGAATGCCATGCCTCCATCGAAAGGAAGTGTTGCTTCAAAGGTCGATCGTAGTCACCATGCCACAAGAATTGATGAGTTGTCATGCACCCCATCTTTCGAAATGTTGATCGCACATTTCTACCGTTATGCATACTCTTCTCAATCATTTTTGTTTCCATCCGCGACATACGTCTTGATCGCTCTCGTCAGGATTTTCACCATAGCCATTATAGCTCATTTACTTGCGGCTTAAACGCCATGGTGGTCATAGATCTTGTACCGCGATTCGATGAAAGATGCGAGAGATATCAAACAAGAAGAATCCTGGATCCCGATATCGGAGGATTTCTTCGCTCGCGCCGAACCGCTTACAACCACATTCTTCCCTATGTTCTGCAATCGTTTGAGCGGTTTGAAATGCGATTGCCTTCGCGGTCACATCGTGGCTAGAAAAATCTCCACCCATGGCAACAATTTTATTTGTCTCTCGATGATCACGGCAACCACGAAGCGAGATTCATGGTCAGAATTTAATACGGACACGTCGATTGTGCATTTTCGGGATATGTGCCGCAGTCATACAAACTTTTTTCGCCGTTTATGAAGTTGACGCATCTCCGACGTAATGTTGATCACTCCTATACAATATTCTCCAATGAACCGCTCTAGTTCGCGGATAAGTGCGACCTATACATTGGTGGCCACCCGTAAAGCTCTTATCGTAGTGACAGATAAAAGTATGCTGTAATAGTTTTGTAATCACCAAAAAGTGGCTCCTCCCTATCTTTAGATTTCAAGGCTGATCCAAGCTAAAAATTAACATTCTTTATGATCCAATACATAGCCAGGAGCGATCCAAGCGCAAATTTATCGTTGACAGACTTAAGTCCAGCTATTTATACAAGCATTTACGTCTTCAAGCCAAAAATAAGCTTACTTTCTTTTGTTCTTGTGTATACACTCGATTAGAACTAAAATGCAATATCGCCTTATCGGAATGATGTTTAACAACGGCTTCCCATGATAGTTCGCCTGATCGAAACCACTTAGACAACATGATACATCTTGCTTGATATTAGCGACCCATTTAAACGATTAAGTGTATACAATATCGGTGATATGGACCGGCGGCAAATTGTTAAGCTTTCTCCTTCTGTAAATCGTCACTACTCATTTGATCCGCGCTCTGAATCCTGTCACGATTCACAGAGTGAGTCGTGAATGGGTGTAAATTGGAGTTATCTCATATCCCTATAACTTAGTCTTTGTAACCCATGTGTATCGTAGTACATCGCACCACGCATTTGCCATATCACTAAATCATTATCTCCGCAAGTAATCACCCGAGCCCCAGTCTGGTCAGCTAGATAATAAAAGCAGAGCAGTAACTCTATACATTCTGCTTTGGTTACCATCAGTACAGTGAGGAACGCAGAAGCTGCATTTATAATCTTTCACGAAGGTAATTTTCAAATGATCGCGCTACAAGCTACACCCTTCCTTTTCAACCTATCCTACCCATCGGAAGTGGCTCCAAGA